CCCCAAGAGGAACCCAGGCCCTCACACGAGTTTCAAGATCTAGTACAGCTAGTACCAGGCAGGGGACTGGGGTCCAGCGAAGCCCAGTGCTATTCCTCAAAGCCCTGTGCTTTCCATGCCATAGGTGGGGCCGCCCCACCACCATGCTCACAAAAGTAGGTGGAGGTGTGTGAGCTCACTCCGCCGGGGGAAGACCCGCAGGCCAGCTGTACCTGCTCAGCTTCAGCAAGGCGATGTCTGCTCCCGAGGGCTCTGTGAACAGCCGCGCCACTCCTACTTCCTGAACATCCGGCTCAAGATTCTCTTCCTGGTGTGCACCCAAGATGACCCTGTACGTCGAAGGCCTTGAGGATCTGGAGAAGATGCTGGTGTCAGGAGCAGTGTCAGGCCCAGCCCCGTCCTCACGCACCTGCTGGGCCCTGAACAAGGCCTGTGGCCACAAGACTGACTTCTGAGTGGCGAGAAACAAAACTCACAACTTGCCTGAACCTGGCAATCAAGGGATGTTCTCGAGGAAGCTTTCTGGGGACCAGCCAGTCCCAGTGAACTGCCCTGTCATGCTGTGCATCCAGGCCTCCACAATGCCCCACACTGGGTCTCCCTAGGGACATGTCTTTGCCCGTGTGATGGCCCTGGCCTTGGCACAAGCACAGCCTGTTCCTAGTGTCACTGCTGTGGGAGGCCGGGAGGGAGGGCGGGCGTCTTTAAGGAAGACCTCATGTCAGTCGTCCCACAGCATACCTCTCCAAGCAATGGGCGGCAGTCAGCACCCACTCCGGGGATATTAAAGTACCTCCACAGAAGTGCTTTCGAAATCTAGAAGGGAAACACACCAGGACGTGAGTTTAAATCTGATGGTACACTCCATTTTGATCACGTGAACAGTTCCAAAGAGAAAGGCTCCCAACCTACCACGGAGGTGGCAGTAACAGGCTGTTTTCAGCAGTGGAGTTCAGACGGTCCCAGCCCCGTCATTCTCAGACACTGGGGAAGCCCAGGCACCCTGTGTGCAGGAGAGCAAAGCCAAGTGGCTCTCACAGGCATGCTGTTGGCCGGTGAGCCCTGCACTCCAACAGAGGTGACGTCCAAAGACCTTCCTTGGAGGTCTCTCTCATTTCTTTCTGATATGATGGATCTATGCGAGATCCGATGAATCGTTCTTCACACGTGACCCTGAACAGCAGTGACCCATGGCAGTCTGCTGATTTACCTGGGAAACTTCACTTTTGGGGGAATGCCCCCTAAATCACCAGCTTTACAGGACAGCTCGGGCACGTGGCAGCTCACAGAACTGACGTGAGCCACTGCCAGCCGGATTGTAATGAAAGGAGCTCAGATAGGAAGTGCAGGTCGCAGGCATATTCATGCTGGGTAAATCCAACTTACAAGCCAAGTGATGTATAGTAATGAAAAGTATAAAATAAATTTTTAAAAACTCATCAATAGGACACACAGTCTGGGAAAGCATCGAATCTGCAGTGTGTGGACGGCGAAGGCTCTGTCTAGCCAGCAGTCACTCAAGGATGCGGCAAAGAAAAGCCAGCTCAGCTCGAGGCAGTCGTGTTTACCGACGGCTCCCACGAGCTCCTGGAAGGAAGCTCTTCGGTAGAGAACGGAGACTGAGCCCACGTGCAGTGGGGTAGAGGGGCCAAGAGCGGGCAGAACAAGCACACAGACCTCCTGTTTCCTGCCTGTGCTTTGTAAGATGCCCCAGAAAGCTGAGCTCATTAAAAACACGTTCCCCTGGAACCTAGGCCCAGGCTGTCCAGGTCCCACAGGGTCAGATGACTCGGTGGTGCTGGGGACCAGCTACCATTTGTTTGCGTGTTTGTGAAGAGGGTGTGGCCTCTGTTCAATTCATGATTCGTAATAGGATCAACAAACAAAAACTATGTCTGGTAGGCTATAGATCATTTTGCCCTTGCGCCTTCTCCCACAAAGTGTTACATTTCTAAAAATATTTCTTTCTTTTCTATTTTTTCATGAAACAACTGATATCTACATAGGCCTTCAAAACATCTTGAATACGTTTCTAGCAATCTCGGAACTTGGTATAAACTAGTGTGCCTATAGATTTTGATGATAGTGCCCAGGTCAAGGAAAAGATTCTAATTTTGGCTATTTTCAAAGGAGAGAATATATGTGTGTGTGTGTGTGTGTGTGTGTGTGTGTGTGTACATACATAAATATGAATAGATACAGTACATATGTGTATACACAATCTATAATATACATTATATAGATTCTACATTATATACATTCTATTTTATGTTTCTATATACAGATATAATTTTTAAAGTTTTTTTCCCTCCTCAGGTGAATACAGAGGCAGGTCCTAACACAGCGACATGGGTCCCACATCCACACAGGGGGCTTTGGCAGGGCTTGCCTGGGGTGGCAGACACGGCTTCTGTGACCGTCCTCACCTTCTCAGACTGATCTGCCAGGGCCAGGAGTGCGGGCGGGCCACACACCCGCCGACAACCCTTCCAGGACATTTCTTCGGTTCCACTTTCGGCTTCCCACAATCAAATGAAGAGGATACTGTGGCAGAAAGTGAGGAAACATCAAATTTGATGCGAAGGTAGCACTTCTGCCATACAACTCAAGAAAAACCGTGACTTGTGACGAAGCACTGAATTTTTGACATCCCAGAACCCAAACTAAACAGTAAAATTATAAGCAGCTTTCAGAATACTTTTTCTAAGTTTCAAAATTGGTTGTAGACAATGCAATACTCTTTCCTTTCAAGGAAATGTAAGTCCTTTTTTAAAATTATTTTGTGAGGAAATGATAGCCAAAACGAATTAGTATAGTTCAGCATTGGAATGAGATCTTTTCTAAGAGGGCCTGTCTGTACAAACGGTTATTTGCATGAGTTCTGCTGACACAGTGCAGCATGTTTAGAACACAATGTCAGCCCTCCCATCATTACCACCGCCATCACCACCAACTCAGTGTCTTATTAAACCAGAGCTATCACCTGCATTGGGTACTTTTTCATGTGAATTTCTGTTTGTGCATATATGTATGTATGCAATTGCAAAAAGTTAACAGAGAATGTGTATCATGAGAAACTTTGCATGGATTTCAAAAATTTATGGCACCGGGACCAGCAGATGGCATAATGGCTACATCGCTGAACTCCCATGTATTCGACTGTGGTTTGAGTCCCAGACCTGGTGGCTTAAACTCATGCTGAGCACATGTGCGTGAGGTCCCAAGATCCCAAGAGGAGAATGGAGGAGAAGGGACTGCAGCATGGCCATCCCCCCCAGGGGGTGATTTCTCGCTTTCTTTTTTTTTTTTT